TGTTATCTTGGTCATTTAATGGGTTATACTTATATTTATGAAATAATATTAGATAAATACAGCAAAATTTATATTAAACAATTAATGAATGTTGAAGTCACCCCAATTTTACCACCAGTACCCGGCATTGATCTTGAACAGTATAAACGTACACTAATTGAACGTTTTTCAAATCCAAATATTAAAGATACTGCAGTAAGAGTATGTAGGAATGGAGCATCGAAATTTTCAAAATTTGTTGTACCTATTATTGTTGAGCAACTTAAACGAGGAAATAATCCACATTTTTGTGCATTATCTGTTGGTGCTTGGATACGATATTTAAGTGGATTTGATGAACAAAATAAACCGATTATATTACAAGATACATTAGCTGTTGATCTTAAATTAAGTGAATTAGCTGCAAAAACAAGACCAGATGTAAAAGAAATTTTAAGTACTAATCAAATCTTTGATGATTTAGCTGAATATCCGCAATTTATTGAAGCCGTGGAAAGAGTTGTTCAACTTTTGTATGAAATTGGTTCAAAAGAAACGCTTAAACGATGGGTTAATGAAGCTCCATACCAAAACATAACTAATTAAAAAAACCACATAGCTTTTATTTTTCATATTTTGTTATCATTGATGTAGAAATAACAACACTTCATGAAAACAATAAAATCGATTGACTATGAAGTACCATTTTAAGTGGTGTAGCCAAGAGTTTGTGAATCATGGGCCATTTCCCAACAAAATTATTTTGAGAATTAGGTGGTTGTGGGCCATTAAAAATCGATTGGGCTACGATATTTTACATTTTTCTTTGACATCATAAAAACTGATGTTTATTGAAGTGAAATTCTTCGTCTTTAACTGAATTAAGAGGCGAAACCTCTTCCTATTTTTGTACTCAGCATATCCATCTGTCATATATCACTATATACGCAAACTTCGCCTCCAGCGACGAGACCTAGTGTAGCTTGTAGAGAATTTTTTTCTGATTAAAATCTGTCGATTGAAATTTTCAGCATTGACGCACAATTCGAGATAAAATCGAGATACTTTTACGTTGATAGTAGCGCCCTCTATCATATTTTACCAACAGAAGGACTTTTTTATGTTATTGTTAAATGAACTATTTCTGATTAGATTCTATCTATATGAGTATCAATCTGAAGTTTATAATTGATCGATTCATTCATGATAAGATCAGCTTTGTTGTATGTGCCTTTTTTGAGAAAATCTCCATGCCACGAAAATTGCCATGATTTTGGCGATTTCTCGATAAATGAACGTAAGATCGCGATTAATCGAGTTAGATTGAAAATTCGACGATAAAATCAGGTTTTTTCGTGATATTGAAAAGAAAATTGATTAATCGTAATCCCTGAAAAATCGAAATGATTAATCGGGATTAATCAGATTTTTTTAACATAATCGGATGTAAATGTGTTGTTGAGTAGCTAAAATTTTGATGTAAATATTAGGGGTGAGACTTTACCTTTACTTTACTAGTAACTAAGTAACTACTTAAATACTGACGCCTAATGAAAAGATCAATATAGTATTTGTTTATTTACTTTATTTTCGCCTACCTCATGGTGTTGATATAATCATCAATAAAGTAACTTGCGTGGAATTACATCAATGTAATTCAACGGACGTAATAATAAAATGAACTTAACTCGCTTGAGAATTTTATTTGTAGATATTCAGAATGGACGACATTTTTATTAATTATTTCAATTGAGTTATTTTAAACGTTGTATGTAGAGATGCAACGGTGACGATAACCGTGCTCACAGTTACTGATCTAATTACGATAAAATTTGGTACGGTTATCGGCTTGAAACGGTGACAGTTAACTGGTGAATGATCGTTACCGTTGGACCATTAGTTGTACGTGCAAAATAATAAAATTCATAATTAATATGGACAAAGCATAGAATTACGATTCACTAGGACTCTGTTCACAAACTAGTGTTAACTTGTGCGATTGATGAAACATTATTTACTGGAGATGACTTCTAGGTCTATGAATTGAGCTAAATCATGTAACTGGAATGTTATTCTTCTAAGCAACACACGTGACGTTTTTTCTAATTTCAATTTATCGAGAATACAGGATATGGTAGAGATGTGTCTGTATTCTGTAGGTATTTTCCCTAACTTTGTAATTCGTTATATGTTATACTTCTATCAATATTTTTCGCATTTCGAGCAACAAATTCCTTTTGATTGAACGTGTATTTTCTCACTGGAGATTCACGCTCACAGACAAGATCATTTTCTACAAATTTAATGACAACGATATCGCTTTGTTAATCTTCTTATAAAACGAATGAGTCACTACAGCATCGGCACAGGTTACTTCGGCAATTACTTGAAGTTTTCGTCTAACTATATGTATATGTTCGACATACTCTTGAAAATAATTACGTGTCTAGGGTTCATTCCATAGTGACAAATAAATTCAATCAAAAGTACTGATCATAATATTCATATTAGTTTTTTTTTTGCTGAAAGCTTAGCAAAGTATTTATGGACTCTAGTAGTATATGGTTTGGATAAAACTTAATGAAAGTAATCAAATAAATAATAATTTAGCGATGAAACTGAAGATAAAAAATGCTATAACGAAATATTTATTGTTTTTCTTTCATTTTATTCTGGGAAGGTATATCCTATCGAAGCAATGCCAACGTTAAAAAGAGAAAGAAACGCTGTATCTGGGATTGCGAATAATGCGCACTGCGCCTTTCTAACCACTAGGTGATGATATGATACGAGAATGCGGATGCACATGAGAGTGTGGATGTGGGTATGAGTGGTGGTATGGTTTACAGTTTGTTTTTTTTCGATACCTTGAGATATCGATCCGTGCGCAAGTTTCATTGTGCGTATCTTTCGTAGACCCGCTATATCTATATCAACTCCTCTTATTTAATTCGTGAAATTGTATATTTATCCAGACATAAGTAATGTCTCAGTCCAATCTCGTCCTCTAAATGCAGATTACAGTTTGGAGAACTCAATGTAACAAAGAAAATTCTAGAATGAGCCGTCTCAACGCCTTGCATTTCTTGAGTTTTGGTTGTTTCACTTAAGACAGATTGTCAAAGTAATTTCAATATCAAAGGAAAGAGATAAATTTTCTTTATAAAAGGAATATATTTGAAAGAAAAAAATTCGTTATTTCAAATCTTTTAAAACATACAATTCGCCAAACAAAATCTAGCTGCTTTTCCAGATGAATATAGTGTATCAAAGATTGATGTCATATGTGATAAGACACTCTAAAACGAATTAGTTCAATAGTAAAGTCTTTTTAAGGTGTACAGAAGCTTCAAAGTCTTAAATGGATCTTCCTACGAATATAAACTAGGACTCTTTGCTATGAAACCTGTACAAGATTCGTAAGTGGAAAAATGGCTCGTTATGGAAGATACAAAATCATTCATGTTTTATACGAACCCTTTAGAATTCAGTACAAATCTCTTGAAGTTCACTAGAAATCCTGTAAGCGTTCATATAAAATATGAATGGTTTTGTATCTTCCATCTTTGCTACGAACTTTTTTTCGCCCTACGGATCTAATAAAAATTTCGTAGCAAAGATCCCTAGTTTATATATGCAGGAAGATCCACTTAAGATTTTGAAGCTCCTGTACAGCTGAAAAATACTCCAGTATTAACTAATTTTATTTAAATTGCACAAGTCTCTGGATATTGTTTTAGGTAGAAATAACTGAAAATCTATTAAAATCATAATCATAAGACCTTCAAATACTCTTGTGAGTCTTGATAAAATTTTCTCACAACTCATGTCAATCTATTTGCTAATTCGTGGTCGCAAATGTTTCATAGGGCTGGTGCACTTTCTAAATCAATTCGTGCTATACATGTAGCGAAACACTGTTCAGGACCTTATTATGGTCTATTTTAAGTCTTTCGATCAAATTCTTCATTTCGAGATTCAATTGATTATGCAGAAAGAAAGAGTGATTCCATACAAAGTCTTCGTTGGAAGTATCACGGATTTGGCATGTGAAGACTCCAGACTCTCTCTCTAGGAAGCCATCACATTAGCTGGAAAAATGATAAATAAAAAAAAAGGAAACGTTCTTATTTTGTCGGAGAATCTCTACCAACAGCCTAAATATTAAAACACATGATTATGTCTTTATTCTCAATAACTAAAAAGCAATATTCAAAACTATGCTTTTCAGTCATTGTTGTTGATATCTGTAATTTATGTAGATCTTTGCGTACATTTAGATTGCAGCATTCTTGGATCCGAAGACATATCCATTTCTAAATGATGACGATCGAAAAACAGCAAAAAAACTTATTTTCAAAAAACTGAAAAATACATCTGCTGCAAACGTAAATTTACCACCAACTTCAACAAACTCAACAGCAAATCCATCAAATCCTTTGTATCAATTAGCAATTATGTGTGGTCATACTGTATCCTTTACGTCATTATCAATATCTCAACGACCAATAACTCTTGATGAAGAGCTAAGTACGTACATTCAATCTGTCCGAACTGCTATAAGTTTTCAAGAATTCTGGTCATCGAACGAGAAAGTACTGCCACGTCTCGCTCGTCTTGTAAGACGAACGAATATTTCACCTATTACTTCGGTTGCTAGTGAAGCGCTTTTCAGCATAGCCAATTTTCTTAGTCGTAAACAAAGATCAGGACTTTCATCACGTACTCTTCGGTACCTACTCGTTTAAAAAAATCGTCATCTACTTGATAAACTTGAACAAAACTATTGAATAGCTTTCAGATTGTTTCTCTTGTTGTTACCGTTATTAGATTTTTGCTATAATTCATGTATAGGAGGTTTTAAAAATCATAGACACTATCATTACGAATAACTTCATACTGACTAAACGTAGTCTAATATTTATCTTTTATCAAAGATAGAAGATCATCGGTTTCTATTCTTAATGTAAGCATGTATGCACGTTGTTTAAAGACTATTACTTTTAACATTAATACAAAAATTAAGCATTTCTCTTGTTTCATGAAATAGTAGGCATCGTTATTATTAGCTTTAAATCTTTCATTTTTCATTCTATAAATATATATTTAAAGCAATCTTGAAAGATTTGAAGGTCATAATAACAATTCATATTGAAATAAGCCTACAAGAAAAAAACGTCGTCTTTTGTTGTATGACACAAAAGAAATGCTTAATTTTTGTATTGTCCTCCAAAGTGCTAGTATTAAAACAACTTGCATGCATTCTGGTGTTTAGAATAGAAGTTGATGATCTTCTATCTTTGATAAAACAAAATATTGAACTAAGTTCAATCAGTATGAAGTTATTCGTATTGATAATTTGTTTATGATCTTTATAAATATCTCTATAATGTTTTTGTCTATTCATTTATTCGAAATTTTTTTTTGTTAAAGCAGTTGTTCATGTATTATCCATCAGTTACAATATTAGGTTTTTTGTTCTTGATGGTTTTAGTGAAAGTTATTTTTGTCTTGTTTGGTGTTGATAGTGAAAATTCTTTTTGGTTTGTTACTGATAATCAACATTATTCACGTTTTTTTGTATCGGTGTTGAAAATCGTTCATTT